CTGGTTTATGAAATATTGCCATATTTCACAGCTTGACCCTCGTATTTAATGGTTTCAAAATATGAAAAAAAATCTGGTTTAAATCTCAGCTTCCCTGTGTTCAGTGTCAGAATTGAGCTTATCAAAAATTCACCAACAACATAAGACTGTTTGCCAGCATCCGCCCAGCCATTTTACCAAGGATGACAGTTCCAGAACAGTCGCTTGTCTGCATCAGCAGCCATTCTCAGGAACTTTTTCCATTTCCCTTTAGCTGTAACTTTGAGTCAATTCATTTTACTGAGAGGAAAAATGAAATTCAGATGTTATACCTATTGTTGGTTTGCAGACGTGATCATTTGTAGCTCAGAGCCTGTTTCTGAACCACTAACCTGTGCATCTCAGATCGAGTTCTCTAATATATTTCCAGATGACACCCCGTTACTTCAGTTGGAGGTGGGATCTCTACTGATACCAGTCATTCTCATGACTGTTTTTGCAAGGTGAATGTGGTAACTAAGGGTTAGGGACATTGAACAGCCATTTTTTTAAAACTGGGAATCAAATCCAGAGCCCTGTACATACTTGGTAAGAACTCTACCAATAAGCCACATGCCTAGCTTTTAGTAGCGTTTCTGAAAAATGCCAGGCCCACTATTCTATTGCAGGTTGGCAGAACTCTAGATTTTGTGTGTATGGCCTCACCTGATGCAGACTTCTTCCTCAATTTCCACTCACTGGGGTTGTTGTTTCTCCACTGCCAACCCAACACCATGCATCACTTAGATACTTCATAAATATTCAGAGAAACACTAAAACTCAATTCATCTTCAGAATCTGATGTGGAGCAATTGGATCATACTGGAGCTAAGAAATGGAGGCATCTTTTTTTCTGAGATAAGTAACCTATGCTGACCTCAAACTCACTACATAATGCCAATGCCCTTTACCTTCTCATCTTCCCACCTCCACTCTTCCAATCCTGGGATTACTTGCATGAGCTACAACTAGTTCAGAATGGGGATTGAACCCCAGGTCTTGAGGCTGTTATATAAGCGCTCTAGTGAATGAGTTATATTCATAGCCCAGGTTTTTTGTTTTACTACAAGTTATGTATAATGAAAGTTAAGTGGGGGAATGGATTGATCCTTCCTAAGACTCACATCTCTCTAAAAACCAAGTGTGGTAGATTTATTTACAGTGGAAGCTCTTGTCTGCACTTCTGGGCATGGCATGGAAAACAAATGTAAAAGTTATATGGGCCAGAGAAAACCATCTGGTTTAAGGGTAATGGTGTAGTTTACTGGAGCTCTTTTTAAAAAGCTGTTGGCTGAGACAGTCTCCTAATAAGTGGAGATTAATTATACTCTTTAAAAATCTCAGCCTAGGTGAAAGGATTTAGAAGTGAGGCAATGTGGTAAAACTAAGGATTATACTCATTTTCTTGGGATCCAGCAGGCTGTGGGTAAAACGTTGTAGGTATGTGCTTTCTCATCTTTTTGAAACCCAAGATGCAGCTAAACATAATTATATTTAAATAGTTTAGCTCTATTATTTCTATGACTGTAGGAAATGAAGTCCGTTGTTATTCTTTCCATTGAATGATTGAATCATAAAACTGAATTACAACTGTTATTCTTAAGATCAAGTAAAAAGTTTGTAGACTATAGCTGGGCGAGGCCTCCTGCAGGCTTGGTTCAATCAGTTTCGAGTGGAGATCACACTCTACAAAAAGTTCTTTATAGCTGTGTAACATACACCAAGTGTCCAATCCTTAAAGGGTGACTTCAGCTTTTACAAATCCACTTACAAATGGCAGTTTATATGCCCTCTGTAGATCCTTGTGTATTTCAACCTAATGTATTACATCATATTCCTAAGGAAAAACAGACTAGCTTTTACCAAGAGAAACATCTTAAACCTTCTGCCTGTCACTCAAGCTTCTTCCAGGTTTAACAGCATTTTAATTTCATTTTTTTTCTTTTGTGTAGTGTTGGGGGTTGAATCCAGGGTTTTATACACATAGGCACCTGCTTCACTCTTACCTCTTACAATAGTATACCATTGTATACAATAGTATACCAACATTCTAGAATTCTTACTTCCTATTTTTTCCTTACCCATTTCTCTGACATTTCTTGAAAATCTAAGAGATGGCCGTCATATTTTCTGCTTCCTGATCACTTCCCTAGAACTAAACATTAAGTTGGCATGTCCCATTACTGAGAATTCTTACCAGCTTACATCAGCCAAAGGTCACTTGCCCCCAGCTAGTTTGTGCAAGTTGTAAGAGGGACAGAAATTGCCAAGCAACTTCTATACTAAGGTAATAACGGAAACTTTTTTTTAGCCCTCATGGGTTGTAATCTAGATGATACAAGAGCTAGTAAAGACTAGAAAGTTTATACTGGAATTAAAATAAATTTGACTGGTAAAGGAAGGGCAATGAATAGAGAGAGATTCTACTTTACTGAGTAACTTCCATTTTTAGACCAGGAAGCAATTTGTTCTGATTCTGCTTGCCCTAGAGAGACAAGTTTCCTCCCAGGGTGGTGGAAAGATGCAGGAAGGGGAATAACCATGGCAACCTGCCCAGCTTTGTGGGCCATGATAGTATTGGGGCCCGTGTCCTGGTCTAGTCACTAGTTTAGTCAGGGTGGTCCCTCCTTTTCCCACTTCCTTGGCTAGAATGCTGACCTCAGGAGAAGGCTCATTCTTTCTCTGTAGGGAGTCTGAGAGGGTGTGGGGAAGATTTAAATGAGACCAGAGGTCATTCTGACCAAACCAAATAGCAGGCTTCCATGCTGAGAACAGAGAGTAACTGTCTGTTCTAGCGTGAACACAAGCAAACGCACAGGCTTCCTTAATATTGAATGCTCAAATGATTGACATTTTCCAGATAGGTAAATGGTAGTCACTTTTGATTAAGAAATTCTCCATTTGCTTTCAGTGTTCACAAAGACACTTAATTCAGTTGTTCAGGGGGCAGAAACAAACAGATAGGACAAAGTATTCTAAAGATATAGATTAATTTATCTCCCCAGTGTCCCTAAATACTATTGTTCTTCCTCAGATAAGAAAAGAGAACTACTAAAAGGTCATTCTGTGTGCCCAAGGTCTTCTTACTAGCCGTGGTGTGGATGCTTTCACCCACTACCCAACTGTGCTGTTTTGGCAGAAGGACAGACAGCAGCTAGCATACAAATGCATGAGCTGCTAGTCCTTTAAGAGTTCCAGCTGGCCTTTAATCCCAGCAGAGGCAGGTGGATCTCTGTGAGTTCCAGGTCAGCCTGGTCTACTGAGCAAGTTCTAGGACAGCCTCCAAAGCTAAAGAGAAACCCTGTCAAAAACAAAAACAAAAACCCACAAACAAACAAGATATTCATCATCATTTGTACCCTGTAGCAGGACTTGGGCTTTGTCTCTAAGAGGAGACCTGATAGTTCACTTCTAACTGACATGATTAACCCACTAGGATATCTTACCATGATTTAGATTTCTCTTAAAAACACTTACTTGTTGTGAACACTCTGTCATCTAAATGAGACTTGGGCCAGCCTCTGCAATTCAGTAATAGTGCTTCAACTTCATAAAAAATTACAACTCCAGGGTGATTGAAAACAAAACAAAATACTTCTTGCTACTCAGGTGCTTCATATTGCCAATCTGCTTCCCATTCTAATTCTGCCTAAGTGTAGGAAACCTTATACAGGTAGGTCGGTTACATAACCCCCAAGCCAGTCCCATTGCAAGTCTTCCAGTTGGGGCAACTCATGCCCCTTGTGAACTCCTTTGGGCAGCCTTTTCACACATTCCAGCATCCTAGCTTTGTCTTCAAGAATAGGAATGATTAATCCCCCAGTGGAGAGCAGGAGGCAAAGAAACAGGGTGTTTCCAAATTAGCCTGATCAAAGTGGTAGTGGGTTTAGGCTCAGACTAGGAGAGAAATGAAGAAGCAACTTCCTGATGGTCTCACCAGGAGCAGTTTCTCACAATGCTTCCTGATGGCAGAAAGCCACCCAGCAAGCCATGTGTTCCTGGTCATTTAAATTTTCGGTAACAGGGATATGACTGAGCAAACCAGATCAGCTGGTCAGCAGCTCCCAGAAGCCTTTACAACATCACCATGCCAATAGGATCTTAAAAGCAATACCGGTCACCCCCAGCAAGCCCACAAAAATCTGTCTGTCCTGCAGAGTAAGACCAGAAGCAGGTCCAACGAACGGCAATTTAGACTTTAGTTTAACCCCCAAAATTATAGTAAGGTTTTAGCAGAAATGTTTGCCTATAATCCCATGACTTGAAAGACTAGACCTTTAGTGTCAACCTGGGAAGAGAAATGCACCAAGACAGTCTCAAAACACCAAAAGAAAAAAGGAAAGAAGAAAGAACGAATGAACGAACAAACGAACCTCTGGATTTTGTTCTTTCTTCGTAAATCAGCGAGGCCTAAAAACAATGCTGTGGTTACCTTCCCAGCCTTCTTTACATCCTCAGGTGGAGATAAACTGTGGTATCAGCATCACCAGCCCCATAAACATATCTGCACTAGAAAGACATTCTTCCCATTCCTCCACAGTCTATCTCTTCTGGTCATAGTTAAAATGCATAGCTTAGCCAGGTGTGGTAGCCTCTACCTACAATCCTAGCGCTCATGGGACAGAGGCAGGAGAACGGTGAGTTTAAGTCTAGACTGAGGTGCAAAGCAAAACCATTTTAGGGCTTAGGGAAGTAGCTTGGTGGCTGGCCAGGCATGTCCAAGATCCTGGGCTTATCCTCTAGGACTTCAGCTGAAAGAGGGAACATACTAGACTAGGGACAAACAGTTTGTAGGGTAAAGATTGGATAAAAGGCTGGAGCTGGCAGTAGGGAGAGAAGGGATTTGTTATTAGTCAAAAGCATAAGAATCCAGTGAGCTTTAGGACAAAGTGACTAAAGACATGGGAGAATGAGCTGTGTCTGAAATACATGTCCCAAAAGACCCCCACACCTCCTTTCTCAAGGGGTCTAGCTTATCTTACCTCTGAGTTTTGTTCACTGTGGCATTCCTTTTCCCAGATCCTGAGCTGCTTTCCTCGGGAAAGCAGGAATTCCCAAAGGTCCCGATTTCCCAAGCCGGTAAACTCCTTCCAGCACTGGTGTGCCCTGCCTTAGGTCAAGGGAGTGGAGTGGTAGAGCCTGGGTGGGTGAGGTACCTGGCTAGAGTAAAGCAGCCTAATCCAGGACAAGAGAGCACCATGACAAGCCATTTGGTAGCAGCAAGTCCCGAATCCTGGCTAGTCCTTCCTTTCTAAACAGTCAGTCACCGCTTCCCTGTGTGCAGAGCCCAGGCCTCAAGATTGTAAGAAAGATAGACTATACATCTCATCAGAACCATTCCAGTCGCCTTATCAGGTATCTCCAAGATATTTTGGCAAATTTTCTGTCACTACTCAGGTTGGGAGTTGTATCTACCTCGGTCCCCCTCCACTCTCCTGCTTTGCCTTATGAGGGTCAGAACTATTTTCATCAAGTCACTTTATAGAGCAACGACAACATTTACTATTCATGAAGTTGCCCCCTCCGTAATTTTTAAATCTTTCCATGTGTCTGGAGGCTCGCTCCTGCTCTTCTCAGTTTACAGAGTGGCTCCCTTCCTTCCAAACACAGGCTAAGAAGAAAGGGGAGAGGGTGTGTGTGTGTGTGGGGGGGGGGGTGCCCAGGGGTGGAGATAAGATCCAGCTTCTTTAAGTGTTTCGAATCCAGTTAAATTTCCCTTTGGATTCAAGCAGCTCCCATCTGAAACCCACTACAGAGCTGAATTCCAGGCTCCGGATTAAGTGAAGAAGGAGAGAGGGCAGGAAGAAATAACAGACTCAGCTCTATGCTGCAAAGAAAACCGCTATGTTGACTGGGGCTCTGAGCTTTTAACACATTGTTTTTCGTCCCTTTTCTTACTTAAGCCTTGCAGCTAGTTTACAACTGTCAAGAAAACAGCGTTCAAACGCTTCGGGGATTTAAGACAACTTTGTTAAGTCGCTTGGGCAGATAGTTTCCTAGGAATGCTAGTGTAAGACAAAGTTCACATTTTTAATGCCCTTTGCTGTCAGTCAGCAGAAAATAGCTCCTTAGAGGCACAAACCACGTCCAGCCTTTGTCACAAGGCAAAACCGAACACCCTTCAGCAGTTAATTAGGTGGTCAGCGGCCACACCAGCGTCCTCCCTTGGATGTCCCCAAAGCCCTTTAAGCACCCCGCGCGTGTATACACACACACACACACACACACACACACACACACACACACACAGATGGGCTCTTTAAATGTCACAGGATGGTCGTCTGGAGTCGGACCCCAAAGGTAAAACGCATTCCTTGGAAGCATTCCACAGATGTCAGGATACAAAACCACGGCTTTCCCCGGAGTACACTGTCTCATTTGTGAGATTCCCCCCCCCCCAAAGTAGGCAGCCAAGACGGGTGGGAAGAGAGAAGCCAGCAAAGGAGAGAAGGAGGTCGGCACAAAAATTAAATAAATAAATAAATAAATAAATAAATAAATAAATAAATAAATATTAAAAAAATGGAGGGAGCCTCGGTGCCGCGCGGCCACTCCCGGGGAGAGAGATATGGTTCTAATCAGATGCTGGCAGCTGAGGACTCCCCAGGAATGTGGCGGGATGTTTTTGCTGCCTGGGCTTGGTAACTCCCCCTCAACGTGCTACGGAGTCTTCCAAACTTAACTGTTTATTAACTCGCGCTGCAGGCATGGAGCCCGGAGCCTCCTGTGCTCTGTGCTCCTGACCAGCTGGGGGCGATCACAGAGACCCAGAGAAAGAACTGTGCACAGCCAGGGCCAGCAGCCCCATACTAAAGGGGGCCAGGAAGGGTGCACGTAAGGACAGGAAAGGGAAACTCGGAAAGGGGTGGGATCCACTAAGTTGCGTTTCACAGATCCGTTCCCAGGATTGACACTTCAAGTGGCGTGGCACGCGAACTCATTCTAAACCGCCCGGAGCCTTTTGAACAAAGAGATGCCTTTACTCCTCACTTTCCCTACATGGGATGTTTGGTCCCAGGTCTGATCTGCCCTATCTAAAACAGAGCATGTGACTGGACTGTCACATTTGAAGAAATCAGTGTCCGTTAATCGCAAATGTGGACGTGCTTAAATAGGAGGGAAACTTACGTGTGTCCTGTAATGATATGTGCTTGTGTTGAAGTTTAATACCACGCATACAGATGTAAGGTCATGTTCTTTCTCTCTGTGAAACTGGCCTAAATGAAAAGCTTTAGCGTTCTTCTAACTCATCTAATGATCTACATTCATAGTATAAAGAAGTTATACTCTGGTTTTCTTTCCAGTGGACATCCACCCACACACAGATAACTTGATTTTGATTTCTAGTTCCTGCAGCATTTTTTTTTTAATCCCTGCATGAAAATCTTGAGATATGAGATGTTCAAAAATGTCACTTTCATTGCTCAATTGTTGATGCCTGGCACAGTGGACCCTGGGAATTATATAGAAGCTTGCAATTTCTTTTCTGCATATTTTAAAGCCAGGAACAGTTACCAAATATCCATAGAAACGGTGATGCTTTTTAAGGACATAGGAAACCATGCTTTGGGAAGGCCCCCCCACCTCCCCTTCCCCCTCCTTCACTGCGATTCACTTTCTTATTTCATTTAATCCTTTTGTTCTTATACCCCCTTCTCTTGTCTGTTTTCCTCCTGCTCCTCCTCTTCCCACTGCTCCCTCTCCTCCCTGTTCTCCTGTTTGTTGGAAGGAGAATGTACCAACTATGAAAAATGACAAATTGTCACTTGGCTGGAATGGGTTATTGATTTTATTGAGTAAACAACTCAATAGATTTGAATCTTACCATTGAAAACCGAGGATTCAAATCAGGCTTATGGCGCACCAAGGATGCATTTTGTGGTCCATGCCTAGCCCCAGCTGCAAAGCCACTATGTAATTTGAGGTGGCTCAATGTGAGTGGCAGTTTCTGCTTGCAAGTAGGTCAGGCCCATGTGCACAGAGAGCAAGAGACACAGAACAGCACAGCTGACCAGGATGCTGCTGCTGTTCTTGACCTCTGCATTCCCTCTACACCTGGTTACGCACAGAAGAGGGGGTGGTGATGGCAACTTTCAATATTCCTCTGAGGTAATTTTCTGTGATAATTAAAAAAAAAATGCCGGGTGTTGGTGGCACACGCCTTTAATCCCACCATTTGGGAGGCAGAGGCAGGCAGATCTCTGTGAGTTCAAGGCCAGTCTGGTCTACAGAATGAGTTCCAGGACAGCTTCCAAATCTACAGAGAAACCCTGTCTTGACCCCTCCCCCAAAAAAGATATTCTGTGAGGACGTAACACTTAGGTGAGGACTTTAATTCTGCTACCTCTGAGGACATCACACTTTGTGTCTGAAATCCAGAAGTCTATAGGAATGGTTTCACTTCAAAAGGCTCAGAAATGAGAAAAAAATAAAAGGTAGTCCATTCAAGCAATGAGGGTTTTGATAATACAAAAGAAACAGGCCTCCAAAAAACATATTATTCCTCAGCTTGCAAGCCTATATCTTTATCAATATAGTTCAAAGACTGTTTCTAAGACCAGTTAAGTTGTCACCACTAAAAAGAAGTGATTTGCCTTAGAAAACAGAAAAAAATGTTTCATCCTTTGTGAGCTTCAGTGTAGAGAGAAGATCTGGGCCCAAACAGTTCATTTGTGAGCAGTGGGCTCTAAGTTACAGCTCGAAACGGACACCTTGCTTTATACAGAAATCTAAAGAGCCAGCAGTGGAGAGCTCTGGTTTGAAGTGTATTTTTATATCTCTAGGGTGCTGATATTGGTCTTGGCAATAGCTCAATGTCCTGCTCACATTATGTGTGTGTGTGGGGGGGGGGTAGAAATGAAAATAAATTTAACTCTTTTTATCCCAGGAGGTGCTGTTCCTTGTCACATCTGCTTTGTTAACTTTTCAGTAAATCTAAAACGAACATCTCTGCATAAGGAAAAGCACATCAAAACCCACCCAGACGATCAGCTGTGGCAAGCATGATTTTTTTTTTTTTAATCACCACCAAAATTTGTTTAGAAAACTAAGGTAGGAAAAAATAAGTGCAATGTTTTTAAGTCCACAGTCCCCACGTAACGATTGTCATTTGCACAAAACCTGCTTGTGGTGGGGTGCATTAGAGTCTGGACTGTGCTCCCAGTCTAGAAAGGGGTAGTTAATCCCGTGACAGCTTGCTGAAGAATGCATGGTTTATTATTAAAGTAATCTCTTAAGATTTTCCTGGAATGTGCTTCCACAGCAGCTCTGCCTATGCCGGCTATCCTATGTATGTCTTTTCGTCCATGATTAAACTGTCCATTCTTAGCTCAAAAGTCTAGTCCTTTCTCTCCTCCACCTCACTCCTGCCCCTTCCTCTGCTGCTCAGGTCTTTCTTAAGCTGCCCATTTTGAAGCTTGCTATTTTTCATGAACTCTAAATGGTACTTTGGAATTGGCCTCAGGGAAATCGTACACTTGATGCTGATTGAACACATAGACATGTTCAAACCAAACAAATCAAGCTTGGCAAGACTGGATGTATCTGTAGTCCTTCCTACTCTGGAGGCTGAGGCAGGAGGATAATCAAGTCCAAGAGGGAAACAATAGCGATCAAGACTTGATTGAGATGTATCTGGTAAGAGCCCCCCTTCCCCCTTCCCATGTAATTTTTTTCTTTTAAATAAAGGCTGTCAAATGAGGAAGAGAATGAAAAGAAAAAAAAGGGGGGGGCCTGTTGCCTCCATAAAACGTTCCCTACCCCTGACTGATCTCACAGACTTAACTGCAGACAAACAGATTCCATCAGATTTAGCTGCTGAAGGGAAGGTCAAGTACCAGGAGTTTGTCTTTGTTCTTACTATCCATTCAACCATCCATCTGGTCATCTTCCCATTCATCTCTGCTCTCTCTCTCTCGTTTACCTTCCTCTCTCTCTCCCTCCATCTCCCTCTCTCTCAGATAATATTTTCTGAAATTTGGAAGGTGGGTTGTTTTTGTTTGGTTTTGCTAATTCCTGTAATTTGTTTTCTTCCTTACATTCTTTACAATGCCACAGAATTCAATTTTTTTCATGTGACATGTAGTAATAGTGAGAGTCTGATGTCAGACACCAAAATACTTAGGGAAATTGGAACAGCATGACATAAAGGACATTTAAAATTCAATACTGGGCTATCAAGGCAGTGCTGTTGGCAAAGGAACTGGAGTTCCATTCCCAGGACTCAACATGATAAGAGAGAACTGACTCCTAAATGTCATCCTCCATACACATGTGCAAGAACACACACACACATAAATAAATAAATAAATAAAATTAACATATTATTCATTTCTATAGCCAGTCAGACTTTGCTACCTATGCACTTGTATATAATGACAAGTAATGAAGAGGGGGCAGTATGTCAATATGAATTATCACTCAAATAAGTATTATCTTATTTAGCAAACTAATATGAGTTATCAGAAATAAAAACATATTTAACATTGCAAATAAAATAATAAAATGCATAGAATCTTGCAAGAATATGGATAGCAACCAGTCACACAGTTCTCTATCTTAGAGAGAAGAATCTATGCACTAGATGT